GCCTTGCTGGTGTGCAGAGAATAGAAACAATCTGTACGAGGATGTGTCAGCCATTGTCTTTTGACTACACTTTCATTTGAAAGGGATTTCAGAGGCTGTGATCTTAATTAAATCTCAACTGACTCGAATAATGCATCTGAAAACACGCAGCGTTGCGTAACCGTGTAAAGCTGGTGAACTAAAGATCACGGGCGCACAGTTTATATGAACAGCGGTCGTAAGATGTTTCCGGGAAAGGTGCAAACATCGAACAGTTGTGTGTAGGACATCACTCACCGAGAATTTGGTTTGCTTGGTTTCAGAACTCAAAATACCTTGTAAAATACATACTTGGAGGTGTGGCTTGAAAAGGTCAGAAAGAATGACAGGACAGTGAGTCACACACCAAAATGTATGATACACTCCTTTCTTTTAATTTTTTTGTAAGCAAAAGAAACAAAGAATTGTATCAGAATTATTTGAACCACCTTTAATATAATATTTTAACACAATTTTCATTTTTTTTATAAAATCCAAATCACTTCTTCTTCTTTTTTTTTAATACAAAAGTGAACATTTTAAATACCAAAGTGTGATCGTGATGCGGCACAAGTGTGTGCGTTTGTGGGGGAAGAGGGAGGGCGACCTATGTGCGCTCCCTCAGCGGTGGTCACCTGCAGTGGCGGCTCCCTCCAGTGTGGGAAACGGCGTCCAGGTCGCAGCTCGGCTGTTATTGCTGGGGCGAGAGCTTGCTCACGTTGCCGTGCAGTTTGTTTGTTTAAACCCGATGCTGGGTCGAGCTCCGGCGAAAACCTGTTTGTTTGTAGTCGTCGAGTTAATTAAAACGCAATCTTAACTTTTGTTTTTACAGTTGTTGCAAATAATTTGAGTCTCGCTCCCCCTCACACATCTCCGCCCCGAACTCAGAAGATATAGTGCATGGTAAATGTGGCTGTGATTATCCTGTTTATCTGAGCTGTAAATATTTTTAAAACAGCTTGATTGTGGATGACAAGAAAGGAATTATGGTGGTCTAACATATGTTGGGATTATTTAGTACTTGTGTCCTACTTTTTACATTTAAATTCTGCTGCATAATTCACATTGTGTTGTTTTCCCAATAATGACAACCACAAACAAAATATAAATCAAGATATTCTGATTATTATTATTATTATTACAATAATCATTATTATTATTGTTGTTGTTACAATTATTATTAGGGGGAAAGGTTATTGGTGTGAATCTATTTTTTAGGGGAAGTTCTCTCCACTCCAAAGATTTCAATCAACCTGAATGGCTAATGTGGAATTAGTCTTTCCAGTCTTGTCGACGACTAATTATGTTCACACATCACTTAAGTACAATAGCTCCCGTGAAATCCTCATTTCGGCGACATTTTCATGCAGGAGATCATAGTCGGGATGGGAAGTCGTTTCCTTGCGCCACAGCAGGCCAAGGTAAAACAACAGCATCAAACGGACTGGGGCTGGTATTTCTTTTTTACTTCTCCATTCCATTTGATGCCCCCACAAAACAACACGACCCCAGGGAATACAAATGAAAATTTGATAATTCTCTCTGCTTTTCTTTCTTTCTCCCCCTTTTTTTTCTGCGTCTTCGTATCTTTCAGTGAAACGTCTTTGTCGGGCTCACTGACATTCACCTCCTCGTCCCTCATTGCTGCTCCTCTTAATTGCCTTAGTGTGAAAAAAGGCGCTATCGTGCAGCCTCATTCACCTTACTCCTCTTCGCCGTGCTTTGACCTCTGACTTGTGATAGGAGGGGGATCTTCATTAACTCTGAATCAGTGACTCTAAAATGTTTTCAGATCTGGGGTGTGTTCCCTCATTAGATTATCGCATTTTGCACTCTTCTCTTGTTAGTTTCTCACAGACAGACGTTGTCCCACCGTAGGTGTCCCTTTATGACAAATGTTTCCTGTACTGTGTGCTGGCGCTTTTTCAGAAGTGGAGCAGTAAACAAGAGGAATATTTTAATAATTTTTTTGTTTTTTCAAATTGAGGAAAACGCTTTTTTTTAAAAATAATTTTATCATGTTAAGTATTAACATTTAAATTCCTTTTTAAATGTTTTTTTTATAGTATGACATTTTTATACTCAATGTGCCGTGCATGTTTCTTTTTGTGCATGTGGAAAATGTGGTTTTGCTCTTCATATACAATGTATTATGGGCTGCACGTGTGCCTGTATGTACTTGTGGCAGTTAACATGCCACAGTTCTCTGCATGGGTGTGTTTGTCTGCATCTGTGTGTTTGGCCAGCAGGCCTGTGCTGGTACAGTATATTGCCTCCAGTCACTCTGCAGCTGTGTGAGAATGTTCCAGGTTTGAATGTTTATGTATGGGAGGCACCTGGAGAGCACCACACCTTCATGAAATTCATAAACGTCAGCTATTTCTGGCATCCTCAGAATGTCCTCTTTTTCACACTCTCATATTGGTGGAGTAGATTAGAGCTGGGCTCAGTGGATCCCTCCAGTTATTAGCCCAGTACGGGTCTCCTTTTAGACTATCTTTAGATGGTGATATATTTTTGTGGATCATTTGGAGTCATGATGTTATCCAAGAGATAAGGGAGTGCACCATATGGGAGTGCTCTAAATGGCGACTGGCGTCCTGTGTTTGTGTTAAATGGGCACGATACAGCGGCCAAGGCAATATTTTTCAGTTAAAGTGCTCCTCCCGCCCTTCCACTCAATAGGACCCAGTCTTAGGCAGATTTTCACTCCTTCAGCACAGGATTAAATGGTAGTAGTTACATTGATCAATAGGTTAAGAAGCATACAATCCCTCTTGCTGCTAATGACCTCAGTAGTAATGGGTAATAAAATGGGGGTCTGTAATAGCCTCTTGCTGGGGCTGTTCACGGAGGAGGCTGCTCTAACTGTAGTTACTGAGAGCCAGATGCTCTTGACAAGGCGAAGTGTGAAACCGTGATGAGATACACACCTCAGGTGTAAAGAATTAAGACAGTTACACTGAAGGAAATCTCTGTGTAATTTGTAATGAAATCGACAGTTATTGAGATCTGGTTAAGTGTATAAAACCTCTGTGTTAACTCGAAGTTTGCTCTCCCCTTTTCCACATCACACTGTGTAATATGGCATGACAAAATGATTATACATTTGAAACGAAGACAAAATTTGCAGCCTTTACACGCTGGTAAAAAATAGAGCGTGACTAATATGGAGTAGATTTTTTACGCATGTAGTAAAAGTGAAGTTTGTGGAGAAAAAAAAAGGGGGGCATTTTTATTTATCCTCTTTTGGAGGGGGTAAATGCCACATTTCGACGTGCACTGCATATCACATCGTGTACGGGTTTGCATGTCAGCAAGACCAGGCTGCTTGGTTGACCTTCAGAATAGTTCATCAAAATTAGTGATGCCCAGAAAAAAGGACTTCGCTGGATAATGACTGTGAAATTAGGAAATGGGAGGCCGAGGCTATGCAAATGACAGGACAAGTCATGTGCAAAAGTCAAGATGAACTGCATATTAAGACATAATACAGGGGGGAATTAATATTGCATTTTCCTCCTCGCACCCCTTGCGCCTCCTGCTGAAAATAAGAAATGTGAAGTGTGTGTTGGTCCTGGGTGGGGCTGACCCTCCTTCATTCTCTTGGGTTTGGAAGAACATATCCCAGTGTAGTCTGGCACGGCTCAATAAAGTTAACAGAGAGCATCAAAGCTGCTCCGTTCTGTTTGACATCACTGCCCTTTCCTCTGCATTTTCACTACAAGCTGTTCATTATGGCAGTGCTTTGTTTTTGTTTTATGCTACAATGGGGAGAGTGAATAAGGTGATATGGATGCAGGGCGTGTGTCCAGAAAAGCCCCTTCGTTACCGGACGAGATTTTAAACAGCTAAATTGCATTCAGAAAAGCATGAAAAATTCAGAGGGGTGTCATTAGCTTTAAGGTGACCACACAATTTGGGTAACCTTGGTGAAGACAGTCTGTCACCGGTTATGTCTGCTCTATCGGCTGCTGACATCAGCCTGAAAGAGTACATTTTAATACTCGCTTATGCACACACAGATACTAATGTATTCGTGCACAAAAAGAGCCACAGCCGCAACATGTTAACAACTGCAAAGACGCCGCAGTATACAAGCATATCTCCATCGCTGTTTGTCATCCAAATGTCAGGGAAAGGAGCTTTTAATGGTATTGCACATCATAGCAGTGAGTGGCAGCATCCAGACACACTCCAAGTCCCCTATGTCGCTGGAGCAATTAAGGCACCCTGACAACTGTGGGGGCTCTTTCGGTGTCACAACAAATCACTTGTTTTGAGGAGTCATGCACTCACACCTTTCTGCAGGGAGTTAGTTAGGGGCCCGTGTGTTCTTCACCATGGCTCCTCCTCCAGGCGCTCTATATCTTCACAATAATAGATCGCTGTTGACAGCATCTCTAATGAAATGTTCTCACATGACATGTCGTGCATGCGCGACAAGCGAACCACAGCATTTTTGGAGGCAATCTTTCACGTCTTCAGGTATGACACATTTGCCGCGTCGTGCAAACGGCGATGCTTATTGGAGCTTCGCCGTTTGTAAATGCAGATCATATCGGGTTTCGTGGAGGGGGTATGTGCGAGAGAGGGGAAGGTGGAAGGATGGAAGTCGGGGTGGACGTGTTGACCCACGCCTGGCTCTCTTGTGTCCTTTAGCCTGTCTCAGTCTGGTGTGGTGTCATAATGGTTAGAGGGGCGAAATGTGTGTGTTAGATGTTTGCTGGAGGTCATGTGCAGATTGCAACACTTCAAGATGACACTTGAGATGAATTCCTAGAATGCATCAAAGCCTCTTATAGTCTATTATGTTTGTCTAATGTGTGTCTTTGTTTTTTGTTGAGCTACATTTTTTTACCCTACCTTGCTTGTAGGCTGTAGCACACATGTGACAGTAAACAAGAAGGAGCCAGTGTTGAGGATGGATTGCTTTTTGCTTCCTGCACTAATTAACAGCTATCTGCTTGTTGTGTGTGCAGGTTCCAGTGTCAGTGGCTATGATGACACCTCAAGTGATAACTCCACAGCAAATGCAGCAGATTCTTCAGCAACAAGTCCTGAGCCCTCAGCAGCTCCAGGTTCTTCTCCAGCAGCAACAGGCCCTCATGTTACAACAGGTAACGTACATTCATGCTACCAGTAATCTTCTTCAGACGGGGCCATCAAGTTTCAGATGGTGAATGTCTCAGCTTGAAATGAAAATCTTCTTATGTATAGACCATGTTTCACAAAGATAAATTCACTTTGAACTGCTATTCTCCTTTCTTTTCTAAGCCTCAAAGACAGCATCCCTCAAAGTGTTGAAAATTCTCACAAAATCCACTGCCAGGTTTGCATGACTGATAGACTTTGCTTCACATGTCACCCTCCCGTCTCTTCTGCAGCAGCAACTCCAAGAATTCTACAAGAAGCAGCAGGAACAACTCCACCTCCAGCTCCTCCAGCAGCAGCAGCAACAGCAGCAACATGCAGGCAGCAAGCAGAGTAAAGAGGTAAGCTGACATCACTCCAGCCGCCTGCCGTTACCAAACATTGGCCAGACAGAGTACGGAAGGCATGCGTGCTCCCTCCCTCAACTCCATCTGCTTTCAGCCTGTGGTTAAAGCAGAGACGGGGGGAGAATCAAGTGCACTCATGCTTCTGATTAGCATGTCAGACTGGCTGGATAAATGGTAACAACTGACTTATACTGTGCTAAGAATCCAGTGTCTCTTTTTTGGACCTGTCTCCACATTAAATGTATAATATGTTACAGAAAAGACTCAGGCCATTGTTGTAGTTTTTTTTCTAGTAAACAAGTGTCCTAAGCAACAAAGAGATGACCGTTCCTCTGAGCCTTGTGTAGGACATAATGAAAGGCAGAAGGGAGAAAGGCAGAAACACAGAGCATATAAATCTGAGAGGCTTTTCTCGGTAATTAACATGGAAATGGCAGAGGAAAAGAAGGCATGTAATTGTGAGATATCAGTGCAGAGAGCGCTTCCAGCTTTGTTGCCCATGTTGAGTTTTTTTTCACCATTTTTCTTTCTTGCTTTCTCTCCTTCGCTCCCCGTAGTTCAGCGAGGCTTGCTCATAGGCAGCGGCTTAATGCGTGTTAATGACAGGCGGATACAGGCATCACTGTGGACGAAGCAAATTATTATTGTGCGGTCAGAAGAAGTTCAAAGACGATCTGGGAATTTTCACTCTTGTCCCCGTTGAGTTCCAATGTTTGGAGAGTAAAGGAAACACAGAAAATTAAGCCCGGCGTTAAAAGCGGACCCACGCTCATCCACGCATGCTCACTCCCGCACACGTCCGCGTGCTGTCGAAGCACCCAACTTCAAAGTCGTAGCTCCCTAATTAATGAACTGCGGGCTTCAGTTTGGACAAGTTGTGGCGTGATGCTCCCATAAATCAACATGACAGCAGAGCTCCTCGGCCTCAGATAGGGCCTGTCACCAAGTCGCATCTGATGTAAACACTAGAGGAGCAAGGGAGAAAAAGAGGGGGAGGCGAGGGGGGCAGACAAGGAGGTGCAATTGATCAGTTGAATGGAGCATGAGAATAAAAGAAAAAACTACTTTTGAAGCATATTATGTATGATCACAGGAAATGGATGCAGCCTCGAGAGGCTCTCCCCTTCTGCCGATGTTTTCTTTCTCTTCCCCATCGCGCTCTCTCTCTCTCTCTCTTTCAGTCGCATTTCTAGCAGCCATCAAAAGACAGAATAAGAATTATGCAGTGAATCCCCTGTGGCTGCCAGACAATAACCCCCTGTTGTTGCTTTGTGCCTCTTTTATTTTAAAGACATCAAAATTTAGTTTTTCAAAGATCTTTAACTTTATATTTGAAGCTTGACAATAAAGGGCTGCCAGTGCCACTCTTTATCATTTGTCAGGGACTGTATTTTTCTCTCCCTCGTGCCACTTCTTGTTAACCTCTTATTTGGTCTATTGGGTCTGGGGGTTTTTAATGTGTCTGCATGCTGAGAGTGCACAGGAGCCGCTGTCAGCTGATGGGACTAGAGGAAAAATATGAAGGGGAGAGAGTTAAATTCATTTGCAGCACTCCATTTTCTTTCTTCCTTTTTTTCCTCAAAAGCCACCCCTCTATTTATTTAGCCTATTTACTTAGCGTTTTGATGAAAGACATTGTTCCTTCTAAGCCCCCCTCCCCCTCCCATAGCACTATTATCTTTATCTGTCAGGGAGGAGCTGCTGAACAGAGAAAAACTCAAGACAAGAGAAACTTCTCTCACACTGATGAAAGGAGAAAAAGAGCCAACCATCGTTCATAAACAGAACACATCAGAGAGGATCACAGGCCACCTGCATCCTGAATGTGATCTTTATCGAGTCGCTCTTTTTTTCTCTGTCTCACTTTCTTCCCTCACATTTTGGGTTAGATCACACATGAGCCTGAGACTGAATGTAGTTACTCTTCAATTATGACCCTCCGTTACCACTGACAAAGTGCCTTCTTCCTCTGATTGATCCAATGAGACGACACCGCTCGCTGTAATGGGCCAGCGCTGCCCAGAGCGTTATTTTTAGTCAGCCAGTGCAGAAGCAGCAGGCTGGGTGCAGGGCAGGAGGGAGGTAGAGGAAGAGAAAGGAAGGCCGCTCGACCCTTTTGACAAGCCCGGCAGGGGTGGGCGGAGGGGACCCGTTTTATCTGGCTGTTTCAGTGGTTTCAGAGCCGCCAGCCAGTGACCTGACTGCCGCATTGCACTGAGACCTTTTTTGTATGCACTCAATTGTGAGAAGTAAACAAAGTGGTGTATCCTGTGTTTGGTAAAAGGGTGCGGTGCACGGCTTGGCAGGCACGGCGCTGCTTTTAGTGCCCCTACCTCTCCTTCCACCCGCTTGACAAACTGGTCTTGTATACTCATAAACAGACCTAGTGTCCTGTTGGGTCTCAGACGTGTTTGTTATGTCCTTAACTGTTAGAAAATACAGAAGGTGTACAGCTAGGTCCTGTTTAATCAGCAACAACACTTTGTTGAGCTGACTGTGGATTATTAAGAACGTCGGTTGATGAACGGGTTAAAAGTCATCTCTCTCCTCTGTGTCCCTGTTATCTAAATTCCATCTCTCATTTGTTTTGACTCATGGCGGATTGGGGATATTAGCAAATTTCCTTCTATTTATTATTCTGACTTTGTCTTTTTCCTTTCCATTTTCTTCTGTGCCCTTATTTCACTTTTTCATCCCATCAAAGTTCACGTTTCACTTTTCAGAGCCAGATTTTTTCTTCATCTCCCTGACTTTAAAATCAAGTGAAGACGCGCGACTGTTTCATTAACTGTTTCTTCACGAAGCGGTCTTAACACAGTAAGACGAACAAAACAGCTATCACATAGACCGTCCACAGCATGCGATTGAACGCAGCTTGCCGCGCTGGTTGGGGGAAGACTGAATCCCTGAGCTCAGCGCCATGCCTGGGAGAGTTGTGAGAGTTGCTAGGGTGGTTATTAAGCACTTTGATTTAGTCACACGTTGTTTGCTGAATTATGAATGGCTGTAATTAAATTCCTGTGGCTCTTATTATGAATGATTAACTATGTTGTTTCATTGTTTGTCATTTGCCTTGCGACTCCTCGTTAATTAAGAGAGAGAGAGATGTATAGCGTACCTGTCTTAAGTGGGCTCTGACAAAACCAAACTAAAGGCAAAAAATAAAAAAAGGAAAATTAGGCTTCGTGGTAGCACGCGTTAAATCCATTAACCTTGTTTTTTATGAATGAACATGTTGTTCTAAAGTGCTTCATTTTACAACCCTAACTGTGAACTCTGTCACCTTGATGTTAAAATGGGTTTTTTAAATGGTGTATGCAAAGGAACCTGAAATTCAAATGTACGTGTTTGCACTGGCTGTTGTGCTTTTACATACGGTTTGTATGTGTTTGCTGATGGTGTGCCTCTTTGTGTCTCTGTGTGTCTCCAGCAGCAGGTGTCAGCACAGCAGTTGGCTTTCCAGCAGCAGCTCCTGCAGGTCCAGCAGGTCCAGCAGCAGCACCTGCTCAACCTTCAGAGGCAAGGACTGCTCAGCATCCAGCCTGGACAGACTGGCCTGCCACTGCACTCCCTCACTCAGGGTTAGTACCTCATATGTGACTGCAGCACAGCAATCTTCCTGTCCACCAGCTTTAACATTTCATCCACAATGAAGCAGTTATGATGACCTATCATGTGGCTGTATGTAAAGCACAGCAACTGAAGAACACTCGAATCACTATAAAAACACATATTTTAAAAGCCTTTAATTTGGGGGCTAGGTTTAGGTGGAATAAAATGTAGATTTTTCCATACTGAAATAGTCCTATTAATATAAATGCTTCACTGTAAAAATAGATATTTTCTTCCTGTGGATCAGCTATGTCACTCCAACAACAAAGATATATGTCTGGAGTTTAAGTTTGATCTTGCACGTCTTTCTTCAGGGTCTCTAAACAGGACTATCCTGTCCCTGCACCTTTTGTATTGCTCAACCAGTTTCACTATAACCTTGTTTATGTTATTGTTACAGGAAGCGTTCTATTGTCTTAGATAGTGAGAGTTGGGAATGAAACCGATGCCTATTATTTTGTATTTGATATTCTTACCTACTTGCTTGGTCTTGTCATGCCTGAGCTGCTTAGTTATGTGTTGTACTTGAAAAATTACACAAATAAACTCTTTAAAAAACACTTAACAACACCAGCTGAACACAAACACACGGAATAGTCGTAGAGCTCGACCAAGAATGTAACACTAGAAGTATCTAACCACATACTGACTCGACGTCCGCTTTATATCTTCAGCGATCGCTTCTCCCCTTTACTAAATGGGATCTAACTCCTTTACGCCAAAACATGTTTGCTGCACGATTTCAGTTTGGAACACTGAACTAACTCAAGTAACACATCCCACTGCTCAGAAGCAGAGATCCACACTTTGTCCTTCAGCTCATTGTCCTGTTCCTGTGATTGGCATTCTGGTGTCAGTCTCCTTTAGCCTGGAGGAAGACTGGATCTATTGTTCAGAAACTTGTCACTGTAAAAGCGCCTGTAACCTGATAGGAAGTCAATACTTGCTGTTTGGCCAGGAAGTTTATTTCTTCATTTATTCCTTAATGTTATGTTAAGGAGCGGTCCCCCTGTGACAAAGACGCCATCATAAGGGTTGTAGAACATGACATTGACTATTCATTCACAGCTAAGACAAACAGTTTTGAAATAATAAGATAAAAATGGGAGGGGATGGGAGAGTGCTTAGGTAATAGGCAAACACAAACATGGTTTGTACAGTGCTGTTATTGTTTGGACTGGGTATGGAATAACTCATCCGCTCATAGACGATCGCCGTGGGCACAGGCGTGGAGCACTGCTGTGTTCTGTGTTGCGCTTTGCTGAATTGCTCTGTGTCAGATGTCTGGCAAACACTCACACACCCCTTGAGTAAAGCATTGTGTGAGTGATATGGCTAGGCACTGAACTTTTGATAGATTTCACAACAGGCTCAGAACATCCTGTTTATTTTGTGTCATCATCACATACCTCTGAGGCATCTCATCTTATCAGAGAGCGGGGGCACTAAGTTTATCTCCTTCATATGCTACCTTTTCAGTTTTCGCTTGTGCTTTGTTGGGGCTACGTGGTACTGAAATAGTGATTTCAGTCGCGTGTCACAGACGCCATATAAAATGACAGAATTTATGTTCTAAGAGAAAATCTGACTTTTAACTCCGTGCAAATATATTTTCAGATTAAAATAAGTTACACTCGTAGTTAAAGGGAAAATTTAACTAGGCTATTGTTCGCATAAACATCGAAATAAGGAACTGAATCTTCCCACATGCAATTAGCGGTCTGTTTCACTTTTGTTGCAACCAGTCAAACCTGGTTAGTTTGCCCTCGTGGTTAACTCTGTGTCTGCGACAGCTGTTACAACACTTAGGCTAGTGCTCCAGGCCCCCAGTTTGTCTTCTTATTCTACACATTTTCTGCTTGACTGTTTGAAGTTATTGATGACCTTTCTGTTTTCCACATCACTAAACTCTTTCACGCATCAGCGGGCCAGGCCTATGGTACTCAGATCTAATCTGCAATATTCAGCTAGCACTGCATCGGAAGCAGTGAGTTGATCTTCTCTGTTTGGGTCCCAGTGATTATGGATTCAAACTTGGGGGCAGTAAATTGCGGTGACTTTCTAACTGATGATTTTTATTTCTTTCATTTAAACATGAAGATATCGATATAATTATTTTAAAATCCCATTATTATAGCAGACGGTCCTCGGTCTCCATTTTTCATGCACAGAGAGAATGAAAACGCTAAAGGTTAGCAAATAATAGGCCACTGAAACAGAATAATTAAAGAAAGTGTTCTTTTGGGTACTGCAGTGCAGTTTAAACCTCAGTCATATATCACTCTTCTGTCTGGTACAGTACATTGTTGGCTGAGACAGATTACAGTCATTGTTCTGGACTGAAGGAATGCATCTGAATTAGCTTTTCAAAAAATTGATAGCACTAATTAAGTATAAACTTGTAGATAGCACTTTTGAGTGAAAAACAATTTCTCACATTATCTTGAGCGTAATTTGTTTCTCTTGTCGTAAATTCTTTTGACATTAATGTCCAAAGTCTTGGAAGCGGCCAGGCGCTATCTGTTATAAATTACAAAAATGTGTTTGGGGAGGATATAACTCTCATAAATATAAATTTGATCCAACCAACACCCCCACCTGCCTCACAAAAAGCCTGTCCTCTTGACCTGATAAGTGAGTCAGTGGTTGCTCAGGCTCGCGTTGCTAAGGTGTTTGCATGTTTTTTGCACATGTGGCTGTGTGTGTGTGAGTCACAAAGGTGGCCGGTGTTTGTGTACATCCCGAATAAAATGGACCTTCACCCTGTGAGGTTGCTCTGCGAGAGAGCGAGTTCCTCTAGCTGCACAACATCATTTAAGCTGTCTAAGAGAGGCCAGTGGGACAGTGACAAGACAAATTTGTCGGTAATATGAAAGCAAAGAATGTGGCGAGCCATGAAGTGCTCACAGAACAGCAGCACATCAGGGACAGCGGCGGGTAATGCGGCCGACCTGTCAGTGATTGATACATCCAGCAGTGGGCTACTGGTAATAGTTCCAGCAGCATTAGGACAGGACATATTTCAGGCCAAAGGGGTGCATATCAGCAGGCCGGTGATTACGGCAACATAAACAGGGGTGCAGTAAAGGTCCCAGTCTGACGGAACAATAAACTAATAGCGATGTCACTGTCCCCCCATGGCACCGGCACTGTGTGAGAAGTAGCAGCACGGTTTAAAGAGCTCGGAGCACTAGGGGCCATTTTTTATTTGGGGGATGATGGCCTGCAACTGATGTCATTATGAACCTTAAATCAACTTTCTGCTTGCTTGAACATGGTCACCTGGGTGCAGGAGGACAAGGACAGGAAAAGGTTGAAGAGCTAGGCCTGTCTTGGTGCCAGAGCTACCTGCGGAGGTAAAATTGAGTTGGGAGGCCGGTGATCAATCAAGTGTCCCAACAACATACATTTTTTAAAGTGCTTGTCCGTATTTCCCGCTCGTAATGAGTGGAAGACTTGTGTTGAAAAATGGAAACAGGAAAGATAAACCAATCCGGCGTTTAAAAGATGGACAAACTGGGTACCAAAGAAAGAAGGACTTACAGATCAATGTCATTATGTGTCCCACAGTAATCAGATGGAGAGAAACTCGATGCATTTTTGTCCCAACACAAAATATAATACCCACGGAGACTTTTGTGTAATGATATTTTATTGGCATTTATGTGGAATCATGAGCCATAGCTGTTGCAGAGTTTGAAGAGGTTGGGGTAGGAGAGGGAAGTGGCGAACGGAGAGCAATAAAACTGCAGACTAGATCCAGAAAGAGACAGGTTGGTCCCACTCCGTTACCTCTCTCATCAGACCGGTCTATGTGCTGTGGTTTCATCTGAGTAAACAGTGGTGTTGGGGTCACCAGGACTGCTGGGTAATTGAGCCAGTGTGGGCTGCCCTGTCAAGCACATCGGCTAAAAATACATCGCCCACTGTCACCGGGCACCAAGTGGGGGGAAAATGATTGTTCCCTCTGTCAGAGCGCAGGACACTCACATCACCAGTGACCTTCCTCTTCTAAACCAGCTATCACAGGAAAAAAAAAGAAGGAAAAACAAACTTTTGCTCCAAAGTCCAAAACAACAATGCAGCCTTTGATAATGAAACTGGAAATCAACAAGCGCTGGATTAGCATGCTATAACATGGAGCGCAAAATAAAGCATGTTTAGCCTGTCATGAATGCGCACTTCGATTAGGGCACATCAAGGCAATGAGGAGAATAAGGGAGAATACAGGCAGACAGAATAGAGCGAGTGTGCTGAAATATCCGAATGAGGGAAGACGCTCCTTGGAACGTGGAAAGGTTATTGATTTGTCCTGCAATCATTTCCTGCTCTTTGATATGCAAACGATCTAGTGTGAATTTACAGCAATCCTATCAGACTCATTTCACAGTTCTTAGCCCCTGCGTCTCTCTGGAGTCCTCCGCCTCATTAGGCCAATGTTCTCCATTACCAGCATAATTAAAATCTTTAGTAGCTTATCAAATTAAAAATATTTTTGCTGATCGTATTGAGATCTTCACCTCACAGTTATTTTCCACAACAGGAATAAATTAAGACTAAGCATTTTGCACACAATGTATTACAATCTGGTGCTTGAAAGGAGCACTTCTGGTATCTATAGAGCTGGTGATGAGAAACAGGGAGGAGTGGGGGGGGGATCCGGAGAATATAAACCCGAGTAGATAAGCATGTGCAAATCATCTTTCATTTGCCAGTGCTCATTTTGAGAATGGATTTAATTAATTGTAATGTTAAACGAGTGGTCTTGCCCATTTGCTCTGTGGTTAAACTCACCACATATCCAAGGGGCTTCTTCCGCCATGCTTAAAACATGTGGCTTATTTAAGCACAGACTTGAATCCCCATTACAAATGCACATATATTTTGATATTAGATTTTTCAGCGCTATTAAAATCGGGCTTGCCCGCACGCACCGTGTTTTGACTGAAAACACTCGTAGCCACAGATTTTCGCCCATGAGGTTTAATCTTATTTTACATATCAGCTTTGTCCTCATTTGTGTCAAGTGAAAGCAGACTTCTCAGACACACCATAGATGGACACATACGTATTGTGTGCCAACAAAGACTCTCTGCTGTGAGACACGGAAAGTAGGGTTCACAAGCACTGCATTATCCTTCTTCATCCCGAGTCTGGCCCTGAGTGTCGGGATCGCTGTCACTCATTTGCTGAAAAAACACACACGCTCTGCAGATGTGTTTTCAGCACGCAGAAAAATGTCTTCTGTCTTCAAGGGATTTTTTTCCCCTTTTTTTTCAAAGGGCTGTGTGAGCTGCAGTGTGCTTGACTTGTTAAATGAGGTTTAAGTCTTCTGTGTCAATTGGAGGCGGTGCAGAGCTTTAAGTATTTTGCACATTAATGTGCTTTTGAGAATATTACCCCAGGGTCCTGTTTCTCAAGGAAACAGGGGTGGGATGTTTTCTAGCGTCGCTATTGTAAACTTTTTGTTGTGTGTGTTCTGCACATCTCTGTTGTTGGGAGAAAATGATGGTGATTATTCAGATTTCATGCCTTGTCTGGATGTTAATTATTTACTCTGGGCATGAAATTTGCGTGAATGCCAGGGATTTGTGTATACAAACACGCTTCAGATCACAGAAAATGGGAGGGAGAGAAGAGAGGAGCGAGGGAGCTCTCAGTGCATTACCCTGTAGTGGAATATTTTCTAATTAATACTCGGCTTTGTTTACAGACGCTTTGATTTAATTAAGTGATGAAGAAGAGAGTTGGATTAGCTGTTAATTGATTTAATTATCCAATTTGTTTGTCTCAGGCATGATTCCGACAGAGCTGCAACAACTGTGGAAAGAGGTGACAAACGCTCACGTAAAGGAGGAGCACAACAACAGCAGCAGTAACAACGGCCACCGGGGCCTCGACCTGTCCTCCCCGGCACCGCCAAAGAACCCACTCCTCAACCAGCATGCCTCCACCAACGGCCAGTACATGAGTCACAAGAGAGAAGGGTAAGTCTCATCTGCAGGGTGTTGTCGGGTTGTTGTTGTTGTTGTTTTCTTTTATTTGCATGTGACTTGCAGTGCTTGTGTGATCTCACGATACTGCTACAGGGAAGAGGTTTTTATAAAACTGTGACCTCGGGAAACATCATCTCGCTTTAAAGAAAAACTCGTTTTGCTTTATATGCCACTTTAAATTACCCTTTTTTTCCACATGGATTGAGTTGATGGAGAAATCCCTCTAGACTTGAACAGATTACTGTTTTAATTTATAGTTTGTAAGTATTCCTGAAGACCAGCACAGTTACCTTTCTGTGCCACTGAGTACACCTGGGGATTACATAGAAACATCAGGGAGAAATGTGCGTATGGTTGAAATTAGATCTCGGTAAAATTATCAGGGGGGATCACCGTGTTTTTTTTATTGTTTTTACTAAGTTGTATAAGGAGAATAGCTGAATTATGATTTTCCGCTGCACTTCCTTGAGAACATTTTGATCACCAGGAAGTAAAAACATTTGTTTTGTTTATTTATTGTGTTACAGAATAAATAAACAAAACAAAAACAACAAGCTGTTATATGTTAGGAGAAGCAAACACTGGGTGATATTTTCCAAACCACCATAAATCATCCCTGAAAGGCATGTGCTCTCTGAGCTGTGTGTATGTGTCTTTAAGGAAGGAATTAATTTGGCATCTTACACATTTGCTTGTTTTCTTGCACCAAAGCCTGATCTTTGAACTGCTAGTGAGGAGCCTCCAGGCACCATGAGCTCACTGCCTAACATCTGACTTGTGTTTCAGTGATCAAAACCTACGCGTCATTATGAAAGCAATGCAGATGAAAACATGTTTAGCACAGTAAACTAAGCAGGTCTTCAGAGGTGAAGAGGGGCTGCTTATGGGGAGGGATGTGGAGGATGGGTTACAGAGAGGATCTGAGTGACACCAAGGGAGTATATCATGATGTGCTGATAGAGAACAGTTATGTCTTTTCAAGTAGAGCTTTTGGTTCTATATAGATTAATGGCATACTACCTGCACAGACTCATCCTCTTTAGTGTCTTTCAAAGTTATCTCCTGCCGCGGTGCAGGGGAAAAAAAGCGGGCATAAATTGTTCCTGCAGTTGACAGTATTCACAGGCTTCCAGTGCTCCATCCAGCGTCTGGCTGAGTGTCTGGTTTCTGTGTAGTTAAAGACAAATCACAGGGGAGGCTATCGACTCGTTGCTCACTCCACCGCGTATTGTCGCAAGTGGAGCAAACAAGGTGAGCGTCGATGGCAGAAAAAGGCAAGAACCAGCTTCAGCTGAGGGCTCCATGAAACATCGGGGAAGACATAACGCAAGAGCTGGCAGCTCCTCTGCCTCGCGCTGACTGTCAGAGATTAAAGAAGTTGTCAGCAGCAGTTTAACACAAGCTTAAGTGAAGAAGGCAGCCTCGGTCTGAATATTCTCACCGTATCTTAGATCTGTCAGAAAACCAGGCAGGTGATTTTCATCCACCCCATCTGTTGGAGAAAGTGGATTACCTACCCAGAGTTTTAACTGCACAATTACTAAAAAAGATGACTGATAGCAAGCGAACACAAAACATTCCTTATTAAATGCTGAATGATGCTAATTTAGATTCACACAACCAATAATCCTTTCTTGTGTTAATTTTAAATCGCACAACTATCAAGAGCGTTATGCCTCTCTTTTGATGATGCAGCCTCAATTCTAATCAGACTCCATGGGAAGAAAAATGAAATATTATTAAGTATGATTATTCTAAGCAAGGCTCTGAGAAAACGTCTGTGTTATAATCCAGGGATTTGAATAATCAGGTTGAAGATAATGGGCTGGGCCGGCCCGGGCGTAAATAGAGAGCATCCACTCATCCTCCCAGTGCTGAACTTAATGAACTTTTAATTGATGCGGTTTTGCAAGTCCTTTTGTCATGCAACAGAAACAAGCCTCTCTGCTGATGGGCCTGTTTTCCCGACTGGCTTCAGATTGGTTTACAGCAGGCCCTAAGTACCATGTAGTTAGTTTCATGTGTCATATAAAATCTGCCTAGGCACAACGACGCCTGCAACTAAAACCTTAAGTGCATCCACAGGAATCACTCACCGGCTTTGCACTTCCGTCTTAAGGAAGGAGGAGAAATTCAATCACTGCTGGCTTGACACACCGAAGATGAGGCACGTGTTCCTGCTTTTAGTTGTTTGAAAGAACACTCTGGCAAGGCAGGCTGGGATTTTTGTTTGTCTGAATAACATCCCTGATATGACCAGATCCTGAGTCACTCAATCTGTCAGCCCGTGTTGTTTCCCAGCCCACGAACTGTTATGCACAGATAGAGATATACCCCTGTGAGTCAGGTCATCTTTATTCAATGATTTGCTTATTCAAATCAAATGTGCATGATCTGTATCTGACACAAATTCCCAACACATTGCTGCATCAGCTTTATAAAGTGGGAGGGGGTTGGGAGCATCCTCACAAAGCACTTGGCCCACTTTACTTCCCAACAACCATCAGTAACCACAGCTCTGGGACTGTAACACAGCAATCTGTTAAGGAGATAAATAATCAGATTTGGCACAGCACTCCCATCTCTCTCTTGCCTTTCATTTGTCTTACACCAGAAGAAACTGATAATTAAATCATTTAGGTTAAAGCATGCAGTGGCACCGAGAAGACAGAAGGAAAGGATCCTGGAAAGTGAAAAGAGGGGAGGAGGGTAGCGGGTGTGAATCGGGGATGGACACAAGGCGATAGGCTAAAGTCGGCGCTAGTGCCAAGGATGGATGTAGTGATTGGCTTCAGACGCTGCCATCTAGCATGGTGGATATCAATCTTCCCACGTTTGCTGAGATATTGAGTCCACCAGGACAGAATCTCAACTGTGGATCTCCACTTGTTTATGGCCCAAAGCATCTCATCAAAATAAGTGAGCTGGAAAACAACTGGCTAGCAGCTGTCAAAACCACCTTTGTGTGCACTTGTGCCTGTCTGTCTACACATAAACAGAGTGCAACACCTGGAAGGTTAACGCACTGTCTGGCCGGGTCTGTAGGCACTTTAATGTTCCTTCTCCTCTAAAGAAGCTGATGACATGGTTTTCCTCATCGCTCTTAAGAGATCATTAGAGTGTTCTTCCCCCCCCGGCTGGCTGACAATAATAACATCCTGACAAACCTGTCGTGGGTGCGAGTCAAATTTAACGCAACATGGGAAGCTGCATTTTCCCCCCCCTCCTCTGAACATGTTCTCAAATGGGAGAAAACCCCATGAATACTGCACTCTTCTCCTATTACACTAATGTAGCTCATTTGGTGTAAATTCTGTCATTTACTAGTGTTTAGCCATCCACCGTTTAAAAGGGCTCTTCTGCCGCCAGCCCCTCATAGCGCTTTGTGCTCACTGATTCCCAGTGCACTCCACATTTCAATATCTTGTTAATACAGAATTAACCAACAAGCCTCCTGCAAAGAATTAAAAAAGGATCCCTTTAAATTAAAAGCCAGTGTTACCTTCACCAGTCCGCACATTTCCTTGTTAAAAACTCATTATAATAGGTCTTCCGTCATCTATTTATTAGCTGTATCAAAACAGAGGTCTTAATGTGAATGCATAATTCATAATTGAATAAAAAAATTCAGACTTTTGAAAGAGGGAGGAGGAAAAAAAGCTGCTAACCACATTCATGAATGCTTGACTGCTCCCTAATTGCAATGCAATTATCACATGTTATGAACAATGTGAACTCTTAAGCAAGTAATTATAACACAAGGAAACCTGCGACGACCTTTAAAATTTCCTACTCGAGGTACAGTTTTACTAACATTGATACAAATGAGATTTTAATCCGAACATCAGATTTTTTTTAATCCTGCAAAATTGGCACGCCCGCGCTTTGATTTCTTTTCACTCGTTCGTTTTATGTACATTTTGAAATCAGAGCTGATCGATCGTTGCCAAGAAATGCAAAACATTATTAATGTCAGTGCATTTTTTTTTCCATTCCTGTCCCTAAAAGAACCCTGTAAAGTTGAAGAGTTAGACATTATTATCTCTGATGGAAATTGTGTACGTGAATGGAGTTACTCCCGTGTGACAGCACAACAGAGTCTAGTGCAGTGACTCTCCTGATCCATCTTGTTGTCTTAGAGAGCGAGGCTCACACTAGAGGAGGAGAAGCAGCAGCATTGTGCTCATGAGCCGCCAGAAGCACAGGTGGTAGCGATATAGGCCAGTCCCCCAGGCTCTTGTAGCTGAAAGTTGTGTGTCTTGTATAGTGCCTGTGTCCATATGGCTGCCTGTCTTGCTCTCTTAGCAGACACTGCCTCCATACAGACCGCTTTCTCTTAGCGCTGACTGTGGTTAGCTGTGCTTCCGTGCCTCTCACCATATGGAAGATGTTTCAGAGTTTGTTTTTCAGGGATGTTCCTGCTATTTAGACTGATTGTACCATGCCATACGCTCCCCATAGATGCGTGCTTGTCAGCCCCTGGTGACACAGATTGGTCAGTAGATAAATTGATACCAGGCGGGGTTGTTTACAATACGTGCATGGTGTGAAAGTAGGGGTTTTAATATCATGGTACAGGCTCCTCCAGGTGGGCTCTGTGACATGATGCAGCAGGCGGCACAGGAAAAACAGCAACTCAGGGAGCCCCCTAGCAGTCTAGATCAAAGTGAACCACAGCATGGCTCTGTGAAACTGAATAAATACACACTGATTTGATTGTGATTTCCCAACAAGAGTCCCTTCCTTTAAGAGCAGAGCAAGCCAGATCACACAGGTACAGTGATTCCACAAAGCCCAAGGGTCACAGATTAAGTAGAAGTCAACGTTTTCATGCGGAAACAAGATACAGTACAAACAAGAAAGCAGTAACCGGACTTCGTCTGAAATGGAGAAAACGGGTTCTTTGGCCTGTCGTTAAGTTACGTGACTGCAGGACTGTCTTTACTAAAAATGTTTTCTCTGAATCTCTTTCCCAGATCCACGCTAGAAGAGCCTTCCCCCCACAGTCACCCTCTGTACGGCCATGGCGTTTGCAAGTGGCCCGGTTGCGAGGCAGTGTTTGATGATTTCCACTCATTCCTCAAGTAAGTAAAAGTCATAGTCGGAGGTGCTTTTCTATCACAGTTTGTTTGTCCTCTTGTTGGGTCGATTACACTTTTCTTTTCCTGACCCCCAGCGACTCAAAAGCACTGCAGGTGCAGCTGGTTGTTATTCTCTAGTCTGGGTTGGGCCTCTCTTGACAAGGGTACCGTGGGGTCTCCTTCTGGGAACGGCATGGGCCTCTAATTCCTGTGATAAGCGCAGTTCCCATGGTGACAGGGGCCATTTTTCCCAAACAAACAACAGGAGGATGTTTATCTGTGGCAGCTCACACTTTGGGCGCTCTGCATGTTTGCCCTTGTCACCGGACAGGAGAATTGGTGTATATGTCTTAGACTGCCTTGCTCAGCTTTTTCTGTCCTTCTCCTAGGAGTCTGTTTGTTTTCTCTCCTGCCTCCTGTTTTACTTCTGTGGCTTTTTGGTTTACATTGTTGTTTAGTTCAACAAAGCCCAAGTCTCACCTCCGTGTTAAATTTAACCATGTGTAGAGTAATTAAAGAGCCCCAGCTAAGTGTTTAGCATTTTTCTAATGTGCGCTCTATGACAGGTTTGACTCTGTCCAGCCTGACACGGGAATTGTTTTGCTCGCCGATGCCCGATTTGAGTCAGACCCCTGGTTTACTAATCAACGCTGTGTGCAGTGCGCTCTAGGTAATCCAACACATAACAGTGCCATGGTTACAGAGGGGATGAAAACATCTGCGTTGTGGCAGCAGATCAATGGCTCACTGTCACCCCGGATTAGTCGCACTTTAAACAAGATATGACACAATTCCATTATCCTAAAACAAGCACTCAGCGAACACACACTTTCCCGAGAGATGCAGGAGAGAAAGGTGCTGCGTAGGACCGCCTCGCAGGTCTGCTGAAAGTTTTGACTCTCTTTGTCAACATTTTGAATCCTCTTTTGATTGTTTACGTGAATCCGCTTTGAGCTAGCGTGCGTTTGAAAGGCTCATCGCGCCACATTGTATGTTACAGTTTCTGTGTGTCTAAAAAGAGGCAGTTATGTAGTTTTAGTTCAATTTAGAAAAACATCCTGGGACAGGCAATTATTAAACCAAGTATTACACACACACTTTCACACACTTTCACACACTTTCACACACTTTCACACATGCACTTGCATATTTCAGCTTTGGGAGTGCCCGCTTAAATCCATCACTATTTATTGTATTCTGACATTGCCTCACCCTTTGTTTATAGAACAGAGGAGAATTAAATTCAGTGTGCCCGGTAGAGCTCTGCCTTAAAAAGTCTCTAAGTGCACTCAGCTATGTTTTTACAAGTGTTTTTATCATGGCAACATCTTGTTTACTTTAGTTGCCTGCTCAAACTGCTTGGAACACGTTAAAAAAACATTTGGGGAGAGTCTCCACAAAGCTGCCTTTGTTTAACAGCAGGCAAGAGTGTGAGCAGCTCACCAAGGTGTTAACTCTCAAACCCTTAAGCACTTCCACATGAAACCCAGCAACTGATACTGCAGGCCTCCGAGAGGAATCAAAAATAAAAACAAAGAATACTTCGGGCATTAGAGAGAAAAGAAAAAAAGGAGAAGAAGGAGTCGTCTCTGTAGGTTGAAAATATATGTGAGGAGAGATGTGTGTCTGTCTGCGAGTGTGCAGTCAGCAGAACACAGTGTACTGTGCACCAGAGAGAAAGAAAGGTGAGGAGGACTCTAACGTCCACCAGATTTCAGCTCCACATGCCAACAGTAACAACTAACACGGGACTGAAATGTTGTTTTAAACTCTGTGTATTTATTTTATCTTTTAAAGAAAACATTACATACCTACACGCACTATCTCGATAAATACAAAACACCCAAATCCCTGTTCCTGTTTTCGAGATCAGCACGCAGAAGGGTGGGGTTGGGGTTTAAGCAGAGCCTGATGTTTTTACAAGGGTCAGGACCCTTCTTTTCAGTGTCCAGTCAGAGGTCAGAGCCAGCGAAACACTCCAGTGCCCTCTAGTGCTGCACTGTCTGTCTGCTCAGACCTCAAAATCTCCTGCACGTCGCCACGATGTAGTGACTGCTTTATAAGTTATGTGGCCTTGCAGCTCTGCAAACATCCATCCATCCATCCATTCGCTTCCGCTTCTCCTTTTCAGAGTCGCGGGGGCTCTGCAAACATATGTAACATATAATATAGAGTAAAATACCTTCTCTAAATAAAAAGTAGTAAAGCTATTATTTTTTTAAAAATCAAAAAATCTAAGCTTTTTAAATGTAATTGTTACTGTACAGATGTGTGCTTGTAATTTAAATTCCACCCAGCGGTGGAGAAGATAAACCTTCCTCAGCTGCGGCTCCAGTCTATATAATTAGAAACTGTAACCGAAAAATAAATAAATAAAAAATAAAATCAGGCAAACTAACTGATATATAAAACCGACTGTGGGAATATCCATTTAACTTGTTTTATTGTGGCAATTTACATTAGTCTCTGTCATCCTGCCAGAGAGCTTTTTAAAAGCGGCTTCATTTGAAGTCCAGAAAGTGACACATGCCAACGTTCATAGTCTCTCTCGATGTCAATTCCCCCGTATCCCCTGCTCCCGTGTCCAGACACTCCTCTCAAGGCTGCATTAGGGCCATTTGAATATTTCATTTCCTATTAATTATGCACTGTGACTCTCCATGTCATTAGAAGAAATAAAGTGGAATGTAACAAAGGATGAAAAGAAGCAGGGCACATGTCTCCTATGAACACAGAAATTCCAAAGCTGCTCACGTAGGCCAGCCTTCATTGAAAATTCAGCCTGTGCCAGTTAAATTGGAGTTGAAACGTCTTTACCTATTATTTTCTCCTTTGAAATTTAGTAAGATGTCCTGAAATGTTTACCAGTTTCATTTTCTGACGTACTTAATTAAATTGGCATTTATTTGACTCAAACAAATGGAAAGCCCAGAGAGGCCTGAATTTTGAAAAAGGGTGTTATTGCCCACCCTTTTTTAAAATATGGCTTTTTAATTTCTTTTCTTTTTTTTTGCCACAATAATTAACTTCAAGTGCTAAATGTATATATCGGAGTCATTCTTCAAAAATAAATTATCAGAACACAATAGGAAGATGTGAGTGTGGTGGAAGGAGCCTGGGTTGCCTGGGAAGATATAAATCATTCACCTCAAGGTTGAAAACACCACAGCAGAACAGAAGCAGGGCCCTATCAATTTTACCTTCCTTTTACATGTCTGTTTTGTGAGTGTAAATGTGCTGTTTTATGCACAAATGTGTTGTCTATACACGAAGCAGGGGCATCACTGCAATTTACCGGGCTGTCGTACCGTGCTGTGCCGTCACAGGTTGATTCTGGCTATTTTTGATTTGCAGTAAATGACAGAAAAAGTGCATATGAAAAGGCAGGCGCACCTTTCTCCCATCTGCCGGCGCCACTTTGTGCACACGCAGACACGCCTGGTGACAGTGACCTACATGGTCACTGAAAATGTGATATAATTTATGATATATATAATATATTGGATCCATTAGCGAGCATAATGAAGTAGTGAAATGAAAGGGTATTTGTGAAATCAGTTCAAACATCCTGCTTGGATTATGATTAAATGATTAATGAAATGCCCCTGCATAAGCATTTTCAAACAGTAATTCATGCGGCAGCTGATAAAATTCCTCCAATCATATTTCCTTCACTCATGAACCTTATCTCCACCATTTTATATAAATCACGGAAAAAACCCTGTCTGCTACCCGGCGAGCTACTTATTTAGATTAGTTATAAACGTACAGGAAAAGAGAACATCTTCCCCTGTATAAAATAATCACGCATAATTATATCCATAATTCAACTTTGTGACAGATCCCATCTCCTTGTCCTGTCCTCTGCATTTGGTCTGGCTCTGTTTTTTTCTTCTTCTTTCTTTTTTTGAATTCTCTTAATTTTAATGGTATAATTAACAGTCAAAACACCAAAAAGGACAAAATCATCCAGGCAAGGGAAAGCTGCAGTGAGAAGAAATGGCATTAGGGCACTGGTGCATAATTTAGCAAAGGAATCCAACCTGAAATTCTTCAATCATCCTTCTTATCTGTAAGCTGTAGTTAGAGGAGACATGACTGTCATGAAATATTGAGAGTCATTCTTCTATGTTAAAAGAACTATTTCTTTTTGTTCTGCAGGTGGAATCATTACAGTACGCAGTTAGTTTTATGAGTAATTTTTTTTTTATGTTATCACATGGTCTATATACATTGTGCTTTGCCCAGTGATCAGATTGCAGTATTAAACCACGCACTGCAGGACTGTGAATCTGACGTTACCTTCTTTCTGGTGTCTGTGTTTTCATTTTTTGTTCTTTCTGTTTTGCAGACATCTTAACAATGAGCACGCCCTGGATGACAGGAGCACAGCCCAGTGTCGGGTGCAAATGCAGGTCGTACAACAGCTGGAGCTGCAGGTATTGTCCCACTGAATGTTTTGAACCAAATATTTATGTGTCTTCTTCTGCTGACACTTCCTCAGTGTCTGTCCAAACGCCTCCCTGTCTGACTGATATCAGCCATGGGGTCACTCATAGAGGGATGGGGGTGGTGGTGCTGGTGGTGGTAGTGGTGCAGCAGATTAAATAATTTTGTACATTTGCTACTAACCAGTCATTAAAAATGTGTTATGTATGCATGACAGCCAGGAAAAGATATATGGAGGGCCCCGGGCTAAGTAGAGAAGATAATTACATTTTGAATTTTACTGGGTTTTAAAGTTATTTATGACTTTTAACTGTTTGGCACCAACAATAAAACATAGCATAATGTGGATCGGCGCTCAGTGTTGAGTGGAACAGAAAGGTTATTGAAGCTCAGTGCAGAAAACTGTTGATACAGTAATCAGTATCTTTAATACCGCGTCCCTCATGAACGGGATTTAATGTTCTTTAAAAAATATGCATGCGCATTAAGACTGTGCTCAGGGAAAAAGACGCAGTTTACAGTCATTGTATTGAGGGGGCTTGGAGTGTCCAATGAGCCGTGTGTGTGTGTGTGTGTGTGTGTGTGTGTGTGTGTGTGTGTGTGTGTGTGTAACAGTGTTTGACTAAATGGTGACCACTGAACTAATGTATAATAAAGATATTTATTAGTGTTTCAGGAAAAAAATAACTATGTTTTGTACAAGTTTTTCTGCTGTAGCAAATACAAAGATATTCATGCTGTTTGCAGTTTTGGGTCACGTATTAGTCAAATATAATACCACCAAAATGACTAACGACAAACAGTTGTGGTTTACAAAAGGCTAACTTCAACAACCAACAGTGCGATGTTAGTTGCTCAGACATTGCACCATGCCAGTGTCCTGTTATTTCCGCTCAGCTGGTGTATTATCCAGAGATCGAGTGAAGGTTTATCAGACACAGACTTCCTCTGCATGCAGCCTGTCACCATAATTTAGGCTGGCAGCTAAGACAGTGCAGAGTTTCAGACAGGTAGAAAGGCCCTGAGCTTGTTATTGGCGATGATTCGCAGTGTATTTTAACCTTGACTTGGAGAGTGTAGTTAGATTGTATGATGTGCAGGCTTGTTGACAGCTTCCAAAAACAAAAAACAAAAAAATAAATAATTAAATAATGGTCTGAAGAAGAATAAGGGTGTTCACGCTCTAAAAGATGCCTTCACTATACAGGGATGTATATAATTAAAACATTGGCAAATATAGATTTTTATTGTGTATGTTCATTAAAACTTCACCGCTCTCCTTTCTTCTCATTACAGCTAGCAAAAGACAAAGAGCGTCTGCAGGCTATGATGACGCACCTTCATGTCAAGTCCACGGAGCCCAAAGCCACCCCACAGCCGGTGAGCAGCAACCCCGTCATACATATCTCTCGTGTCCCCCGCTATCCTTTTGTTTGTCTTAATTGGCACACATGTATTCATTAATCCTTTCCTCCATCTTATTTATCTGCTAAATAAAAACAGCTGTTCTCTTGAGGCAGGCAGTAAATATAGTTTGGAGCACATCTGCTGACATCCAGGATTCAATTTGGTGTCTGTGATGAACTGGATGCACACTCTGTAATGGCCCCTTTTCTCAGCTTCAAAGAACAAGTGGCTGCTTGGGTACAGAGAGAAGATGAGAAAGCAGAGAAAAATAGAAAGAAAATAATACATATTATATTTAATCAACTGAAGGTGATGTGGCATGTATTCTTAGTGCTTTAACAGCAAAATTAGTGTTTTTTTGACAGAGGATATAAATGTTATGAGAATCATAGAGTCACGCCAATGTGTGTTTGAAGAAAAAACAAGAATAAGATAGCATGAACAAATATAAAGATAATAATAATTTATTGATTTTCAATAAACTGGAAGCTACCTGATGTCACCTCAAAGTAAATGTGTTAGTAGCAACTTTTATTTTAACCTCCTAACTAATTCTTCCCTGACTGTATTCACATAAATTAGCCTTAAAATAATGATACTAATTACTAATCTCTAATCTGTCCATGAGATCAAAAAGAATCAAATCACTAGCATCTCTTATTTATCAGGAAGCTTTAGATTCAACTTTAATTTTATTTTAAAAGACCTTGAAAGTTACTTCCACATTTGACCCTGTTTCATTTTATTTGACTTAAAGCTAATTTTAAAATATTTATATTTCTATGAAAAAGATACAACAGAAATGATTTCATTCCATTTATTAAAAAATTTGTAAGGGGGAAAAATGAAAATGTGAGTAAATGCAATTGCAGATCATTATTTTTATCTCCTTGGCACATTCCCAACATTTTACCTTCTGTATCACTCTCAATGTGTTTTATGCCGTAAAGCCTTGTGCTTAATCCCTATCCTATAGGGGCAAAGGCTTAACATATGGCATTTAAGTGTCTCTATTTTGTCATGCTTAAGAGGGGGGCTCAGCAACATATTTCAGTCTGTATGACAGTTAATTCAGAGAGCCCAATGAGCAAAGATCATTTTACTGCAGGGCGTGAGTGTGAAATCATGCACACACGAGCACACAGATGCACAATATACATGCAGGAGTGCCGTCCCTCGGCAGCCTCACAGCTTGGATCATTTATTTACAGTCAGCGAGGTAGCTATTGACATCCAGAGGCAGCGTGTGCGCTCTACAAAGCGCAGCCCGTCAACGTAAAGCGCGCAGAGATGTTGAATGACAATAAGCTGTCTGTAAAGCTGCGCCTGTGTCACGCGCTCTGATTGTGTAGATTAGAGTGGAAAACGAGGCCTCTGACATGGGGACATTTGTATATGAAAAGTGGTAGGGTCTGCAGATAGCATCTCGAGTTTGCTACCTCTCCTCTCTCCCCGGGGCCCAGCAGAATGGCTGTGTCAGAGCTCAGCGTTAACACTCTCGAGGGGGCGAGCTGGGTTTTTATTCAAATAAATAGACTCCCAGCTCCAATGCCACTTCGCCCGCTGTGAGCTGCTGTGAAAAGCTTGGATAAATTTACGTGACTTTAGCTGGGCAAGTGGCGGACTTACACAGGTCAGGGCCAAAGGTTCCACCGAGGTTCTAAGTGTAGATTGCAGCATCAGATGCATCCACAAAGAAGACGCAGAATGAAAGCATTCTTAGAGCTGAGTGGAAGCAGAGCTTCTCTGAAGAAACAAAGGTATCTGCTTCCAGTAATTGCTAGTTTTGCTTTTCTGCTGCTCTGGACTGTTGAATATAAAAATGGCATGTGTAAGTAGCCTACTGTCACAGCAAAGTAGCTCAGATGAACTCGCTGGTTTACATTTAGTTATAATTAAAGACAAACAAACTGATGCTGTGCATTCGCAGCGACAAATGAATGGGATTCATTTTATTCTTGTGAGGTGGACGAGGGTGGGGGTAAGATCAAAACAAAATGTGCCACATTAGCAATGCGTGTGTCTGCCTGTGTGTGTGTTTGTATTTGCCTCTGCACGTGTGGGTGGGTGTCTGCACACGGTGTCACTAAGCATTCTTGTCAGAAATCTGACCTTTTACGCCATACATAATTAAGGAGGGACTTTTTGTTTATTTTCTTTAGCAGCTTGCCGAGTCAAAGCCAGTATAATTAGATCACCAATTACCATTTAATTAATTTCAGTCTGAAGTCTCATTTTGTCTAGGCACTGGAGTGAGCCCAAATGGTGAGGCAAACAAAGGCAAGGCTATTACCAGCCTGTCTGGCCTATTGTTGAAGCCTCTCTGTGTTTATGGCCAGGGAATATGGATGAAACATGAAACAAAGCCTGCTAATCCACAGGAAGAGAAGTCAACACCGCAGCCCCGTTCTATTGATAGCATTGTGTCAGAAACACGCAAACCCAAGTGTAATTTATTTTGTTCATGATTTAGAATAACACGTCTTCAGCTTCTGTTGGTGAGGATGTAGTCCACATTCATGCATCCATCCAGAAATCCAAATTATTTGGGCAGACTCTGCCAAAAAGGCAGAGTTCAGCCTTGCAAACATAAATACACATTGTGAGGATGTGGGCACAAGTCTGTTAAAATAGGAGATTTGCACTACACAAATGTCACTGGTTTTGTTTGGAGCAGTTTGCAACTTAATAATGAGAGGGGTGTGTGTGTGTGTGTGTGTGTGTGTGTAAAACAAGTTGTAATTTAAAATGAAATCAAAGGAACAGTGCTGAGTTCTGGGGATAGAGAGTTAAAAATGTGATTGGTAATTGGGCAGCTGAACAGAATTTACGCGTTTGCATAGAGTCAGATGTTAGAAACCATCATCACCTTGTCAACATTACGAGCAGAAATCACACATTTGATCCCTCGTAATCAACATGTGATGTCACAGATGAGATATTTCCAGCCCCGCTGTCCTTTCTCCAGCTCTTTAGCTCTCTTTCTCCATTTTCTTTCTTCATTTTTCTTCTTCTCACAGTCTGAAGTCATGTTTAATTTGGAAAGTGGCCTCCTTCGGCAAATTAGCAATTAGAACAATTTTGCAGGAATATGTATATGTGTCATTAGTTTTCCTGCCAATTAATAGCTGGAGCAGGGGGTCAGGCTAGAATTTTCCACTTGACTGCTGCTCCAGTATGGAGGTTTGGCAGTTGGTTTGGAGCTGCCACGGCTGCTGGAAGCTATGCTATACCTTTGGAGCACTCGCTGTAATTAGTTTACCTTGTAGCCATTATTACTTAAATACCTCCTTCGCCCTAACCCACACATCCCATCCACAGACACAGACCTCAGTGATGAAACCAAGTATTCTCTACAGAAGGCTATGTGTGAAATACCATGTGTCCGTCTTTACCATTGGCCATCATGGCCCTCATAATGGAGGTCAGTCAGATACAGTAGTTAATCATCAGATCACCTCCATAAGCAGCTCCTAATTAGAGTCTTCACAATACAATTTCAGCTTATAATTAGCCCAGATTGGCTTCTTCCTCTGGCTGCCTTATTAGCGGGGCTGCTCAGCAGTAGGTGAGAATCACACTGTCATTTTTCAGAGCTGTACAGGCTGCCCTTCTTCCCTCCACAACTCAAAACTCATGGGTTACCATGCTGGAGACCCTCAGCGGGTAGATGAAGTGGAGGGGGGTGTTTGTCCAAATGGGACAAAAGCTCCAACAAAGGCGATGAAACAGAGAGCCGGGAGAAGGCCTGACATGGCAGCAAGAGAGGGAGGGAGGAGAGGTTTGAAGAGTGGGGGCGGTGCAGGAGCGGGGCTCCAGGGTTGTTTTCCAAACATTTAGCAACCGTTCATGGATCATCTCAGGGCCCAATTACAATTAAAGAGGAGGTATGCATAGTCAATGAGGCGGCTAAGACACGGGGGTAATTAGGAGACTAACTGAGCTCTGTCTGTCTGTCTGTTCTTCTAGCTCAACCTAGTGTCCAACGTCACGTTGTCCAAGTCGGCTCCAGAGGCCTCTCCTCCTCTGAGCCTTCCCCAGACCCCCACCACACCAACAGCACCGCTTACACCCCTCTCCCAGACCCATTCTGTCATCACAGCCACAAACCTCCACAGCATGGGCCCTATGCGACGGCGATATTCAGAAAAGTACAACATGCCCATCTCTCCAGGTACTGCAGAATGCTCACACATAGTACTATATATACATGAAGCTGTCATCTGTTCTGCTAAATAACTGACGTGTTTGTTTTGTTACGTTAGGCTGTAACTTGTGTTATCGACGGCTGATAGGACACGAATGTTGACAATTGCACTTGTGTTTGCTCCCTGTTTACAGATATCAGTCAGAACAAAGAGTTTTACATGAATACAGACGTAAGACCACCATTCACGTACGCCTCACTAATAAGACAGGTAAGGAACTCTCACTGATTTCTTCTTTGTGATTTAGTGAATAAAAACTTTCAACTCCTCCGTCCGGCTGAAACTTTTGTCTACACACTCAGCAGTTAAGAAAAAAATGTTCATGTTTTGCTACATGTGAACACAATTTAGACAGAAGAATTGATAAATCATCTCGAAACGACTGCAAGAATGCATTCAGGATTCAAAACACAGCCGCACATGACAAAAATGTTTGATTAAGCATTTCAGTGACTGTAATTATTACCAAATTCATTTCACACAACAGTGGGGATGAACCTGTTTTAAGATGGCCAGTCAATTATCGCTCGACTGCAGTAATCTGGGATCTCAGGAATTAATCTGAGCGGTCCATAATTGCTGCCCTGTAATCTGCCTGAGAAATGTTTTCACTTGCCCTTCATTTACACCCGCAAAAGAAAATATATTCAAATCTGCCGTTTCGAATAAAAAGTGCATTACACTTCTAGGAACACTTTACATAGACGGGTTCTCGTTTGGTTTTTTATGGGGGTTTCTTCAGGAGAACGCACACAAACCTGCATGCCTTTTGTGAATTATTAAATGTATTGTGAAGGGAGCAAAGCTGAAAATGTTTGTTTCTGTCATCCAGGCAATCCTCGAATCTCCAGAAAAGCAGCTAACACTAAACGAAATCTACAACTGGTTCACACGAATGTTTGCATATTTTAGGCGCAACGCAGCAACGTGGAAGGTAATTTTTTTTCTTTCTTTAATCCCTCCTAATGTCTTTAAACCAACACGGGAGAATAAAGAGTCATTGTGTAGATGTTAGGTGGACTTAAATGATAGTCGTGCATAATAAAATGTAAAAACAAAACTTAATCCAAATACATAACAATAGCCTACTTATTTGATTCAAATGAACCACCCTTTAAACAAACATGTGAACCAGACAGAGCAGGCCAGGGGAGGAATATATGCATTTGTGTAAAAAAAAAAAAAAAAAAAAAATTTCAAAACAGTCACCCTGTAATGTGTGTGGATATTCTGATGGTGGGTGGCATTAGTTTAACATAGCAGTGCTCTGCCAATGACTCCTGGCTGAGCCCCTCACACTCACTTCAGAAGGGAACACTCTGTTTTCCACCAGGCCGCAAGCACACGTTCACACAGACACACACAAAACAACAGAACAGTAATGACTGGAGACAGAGAACGTGAGATTTGAATGAGAAAGGCAGTGATGAAGCCTTTTCTGAGCCACAGAGCAGCTCACACACACACCACCATGCTGCTGCACTCCCGTCCCCCATCACCTTCCACACATACTGACAGCCTTTCCATAGGGGCACATTGGTGTTATAAACACTGGATTCCTCTCCGCACACACATTTAGAACATACACTCCTGTAAAAAGGTCGACTTTCTGAATAATTTGGACTGAACTCTCGATTTATGTTCGAAAAGCCCTTTTTTTCTTTCTCACTTTGTAATGGGAAATGCCGACGCAGAATGAGCCTAACGTTTTCTCATCAGTAACAAAGTAGTGATTAAAATGTTCAGTTTCTATATTTTGTTGGTGTAATTTGTTCTGATTGATCAGAAGAGGCAGCTTTAAAAAGATAAGGGAAAAAAGGGGATGTCTTAAGAGTATCGCCATGGAAATGAGTAAATATTTATGTGCTGTTTAAGTCATTTGAAACTTCAGACCATTTACTGCCCGTAACCCTCTGCTTTATTTATTGTTTTCATTCAAGTTTCATCCAGAGCCTGTCACAATATTTCTACTATGAAATGAATTTTTTCTTCCCATGCAGCCATGTTTACTGTACTGATAGAAACCCTTTTTTTCTCTCTTTGTTTTTACATCAACTGCAGAATGCAGTCCGGCATAATCTTAGTCTTCACAAGTGTTTTGTGCGGGTAGAAAACGTAAAAGGGGCTGTGTGGACAGTGGACGAAATAGAGTTCCAAAAGAGACGGCCTCAAAAGATCAGTGGGTAGGTTTGGCCCTGTTGAGCCCTGCCTAGCGTCTGTCTCAGCGCTGACTGATGGGAAGAGTCTGCTGCTGCTGCTGCTCCATCTCCATTGTCTGTGTGCCATACCATCCAAAGTCCCTGCTTGCTTTGGCGTGCCTCCCCTTCATGCTTTTAGAAGCCTTTTGGTGATGCCTCATAACCCACAATGGCTTATTTTCATTTTGATCCTCACCCTCTCCCCTCCTCCCTGTGTCTGTGTGTCTGTCCGTCCGCTGTCTTTCCTGTCGATCACTGCATCTGCATCTGGCTGTCGCCTCCCTCCTCCCGCTGGTTTGCTTTCCCAGGGTGCCATTCGCACCAACCTCTCCCTGCATAAGTGCTTTGTGAGAGTAGAGGATGAGTTTGGGTCCTTTTGGACTGTTGATGATGAGGAGTTTAAGCGCGGTCGCCACATACAGCGAGGCCGCCCTCGGAAATACGCCGTTGATGAGAACTTTGACGAGCTGCTCGTACAGTAAGCACTTCCGCCTGCCCTGCAAACTCCAGTGGTCCCCGCCCCACTTGCATGCCTCCATCCCTCCCCCCACCTCCCCTCAGTGTTGCCATCATGCTTTTTGTGTTAAGCTCGTCATCCATCATGCTTCCACAAGATCTGCCTCCATCAATCTGTTCTTCCTTCCCATGACATGCAAAGTGTTAGAGATAGTTGTGTGGTATTGTCAAGTGATTGAACGTCTTAGAACTGTAGCCTTAATATCCACATTACTACAGCAGTAAATTTGTTAAGTTCTTATACAAAGTGCATTGATTTCTTTTTATGAAATAAGATACTGTATCTGAGGAATGCATGCTAGCTGAGACACGAGTCTGTGGTTGTAATTGAATTTTTCTGTTTGCAGAAGTCCAGCCTTAGTGAAGAACATTCAGACCAGCTTGGGCTATGGTCCGACCCTCTCTGCTGCCTTCCAGGTAAAAAAGAAGTGACTTCATCTCAAGCCGCCTCGCTCAGAACTTTGAAAGGCAGGAAGGAATAAGCGTTTCACTGTGTCACATGCACGTAGTCTTTGTCTTTAGGATGATGTACTCGCATAAAAGAGTGATGGGAAACTGAGAAAGTGCTGACAACTGGCTTCCGTTTCACATTTAATGCTTCGGGCTTTGCTTTTCAGGCTTCAATGGCAGAAAACAACATACCTCTATACACTACTGCTTCCATTGGAAGTCCCACCCTCAATTCCCTGGCCAACGCCATCCGTGAGGAGATGAATGGAGCAATGGACCATGGAAACAGCAACGGCAGTGACAGCAGCCCGGGACGCTCGCCCCTGCCAGCTATGTGAGTGGCACACGCGCTTTCTATCTTCACCGCAGTCTGTGTAAGAAAAGTGAAGAGAGAGGAAAAATTTTTTGAGCTGCTTATTCCACTGAGACCAAAACTCTTCAAATAGACAAAAAGTAGTGCCAGTGCCCACCCAAAAGGCTCTAAAGTGACCTAATGCATGGCAATAGATCAAACAGAAGGGATTGCCAGAGGTACAATAAATAAAGTGGAGAGGGGGATATTGGGGTGGCGTGTGGGGTCACGGCCAGTGCTGTGGCAGGCCTCCCTGCCGAAAAGGAAACTCCACCTTTTCAAAGCTTCCATCACCAGAGCGGCCGGGAAGAGAAGACCGGAGCCCCTCTGTTATTTTAACAGCGAGTTTATGAACTCTCCTTTATGCGTCCTGCTGTCTGTCTGAGCCCCGCCATCATCGGCCCTTTCACTTTGTTAAAATATTTACAAAATGCCAGCACGCAGAGTGACACAGCTGCTGGCTCCGACAGTGCAACATGAGCCGCAACACATCTAGAAACGCCTCTGAAAGAAAAACAACACAAAAAGCATAATTAGTCTGGAGGACATCATCCAAGATTCTCATGTAGGAAAGTTGTGGTCGGCCTGGAAACCGCAGCTCCCCGTTCACTTGTTGTATGGGAGTGTCTGCTAAGTTGTTTGAAGCCTAAAATAATACAGCACACGCTGCATCGTTTCCAGATGTGGGGGCAGACCACCGATGTGCAGCAGGGGTAGACTCAGGGATGGCCTCCTGAAATGTCTGAGCTTGGGGGAAATTCTGCCTAAAAACAAAAAAAGGTGCAGTAATAAGCTCCTGGCCAAATGGAGGAAAGTGCCATCCTTAATCACTGTGAACATAGCTCTGAGCATGGCTGTGGAACAGGAAAGGCAGAGACAGGATGGGTGTGCTGGCCTAAAGGCAGCCTGCTCTCCCTCTACCCCTCTGCTTCTATCTTTAGGCTGACAAAGCTCACGACTCCTTCTTCGTAATTATGTCTATAAGCTTTGTGCAAGTACAAAACGAGTTAAAACTGTGTTCTTTTGCTTTTAAAGAACTTTATTCTCTTATTAACAAAACACACCTGGCTCTTTACGTCTCTTTACGTCTCTTTACGTCTCTTTACGTCTCTTTACGTCTCTTTACGTCTGTGGATGGAGCATTTAATGCTGCGGTTAATTCAGTCCCTGGTTTTCTATACTGCTCTGACTTACCCTGTCCGAATGCGAGTCCATCACCGCTGTGTAGTAACATGTGCTGTCCACATGTGCCAGGGAGCTGCTGGTTGACAGGACACAGCTTTTTTACCACAGTGAAGAAACCAGAGCACTTCTCTTAAACAGCCAGATGAGAGTCAGGCATCCAGAGAAGGCTAATTATAAGCAAAGTGTGGAATCAGCATGCAGTTCAATGGCATAATAATAACAATTTCATGTCTGCCCCGCAGCCACAGAGTCAGACCTGAGGCAACAGCACTTGTGGAGTTACTTTGATGTGAAAATGATAGAAAAGCTGACTTTACTTTTCCCCCCTTTTTTATAATTTACACCAAAATATGTCAGCTCATTAGCATACGAGTGCTTCCATCACAATAGCTGCAAATCACACAAGACGTCCTGGTGTGAATAAATCAAATGTGGGCCGTGGTGATGAAGAATGTGCCAGTTGTCCCTTGTTGTTGTAGTAAATGAGCCCGGCGCCTCATCCTGACATCGCTCTACCTCCGCTACAGCAGCCTGGCACCGCAGGTTAGAGCGGCAAGTCCCCTGCAGCTGCTCATAATGTTTTTTTTCCCCTCTCTCTCTGCCACAGCCAGGCCTCCTCTCCCCCTGTGCTTTCTTCCTGCTCTGTTTCTGTAATGAGAAATTTGGCAGATCTCATCTCTTTAGTGGCTCTTTTGCCCAGGCTGTGAGCTGGAGGGGCGGGCGCTCATGTTTTTGCCTTGTTTACAAGTGACAGCGTTATTATTCTCATAAGGGCTCTGTTTCTTATCACGGTGTTGTGCCGAGTGCGCCGGTGCCGCTCTCCCCGCACGCCTTTCCTGCCAGCGCTTTTCTTCCCTTATTGACACTTGCTTGAAAATATGCATTAATTCTGGAGTTTAAAGCATGTATGGTGGTGTCTGGTCGCTGTGTTTGCTTGAAGTTGATTAATGATAGAAGCCGGCTCGGGGTCGTCCTCTGGAGACCCGCCTCGCAGGTTGTGCATGTTAACGAGCAGGAAGAGGAACACACAGCGCGCCGCTGATCCTCCGCCACCAGGAGGCTGACAACGGCAGCCTCACTCGCTCCGCAGAGTCCATTCTCTCCTCTGCTCGTCTCACGTTGTTAATCTTCCTCATTTATCAATTCTAAGTGAATACCCTGTTGTCGGTTGCCATGAAAATAAAAAGCCTGCAGCTTTGCCGGGATTGGAATACCTCAAAAGAAAGCTGAAATTATCAACAGTGCCAGTGAGGCTCCCACTCACAGCCTCGCTGAAGCCAGACATTTGTTTTTGTTCCCCTGCCTCTTCCTTTCTAAACAGAATCGGCACAGCTCGTATCACCCTGGGCCCGATTGTGTGAAAGGTTGGAAAAGAATACGGAGGAAAGTTAAGGATAGCAGACTGTAAGTTTTTCTCCTCTTCTCCTTCTCCTCCAGGCATCACATCAGCGTTAAGGAGGAACCACTGGACCCCGAAGACCACGACGGGCCCCTCTCCCTGGTAACGACTGCCAATCACAGTCCGGATTTCGATCACCACAGAGATTACGATGACGAGCAGGGCCACGACGACATGCTGTAAGGCTAGCGCCGCCCACCTCCCTCCCCGGCCTCAGAGGCCGAGGCAGTCCGGGTCATTCGGGAGACAGAAACGCTCTGCAGATAACAAACACTGAACTGCAGTCTCAGCCACTGATGACAGCCCGCAAATGTCTCCAAGTTGACTTTTTTTTAGTGCCATTAAAATACATAGCAAGAACACACATGAGAAAACACAGATGATGCCCCCACATGAGGGCTCTTTTTTCCCTCTGATTCCTTTCTACTTTTGATTTAAGTAGCGCTTAAAACGTGAAAACAAACTTTGTTTCTACTCATCTGTCGGACAGACTGTATTTTTTTTTATTTTTTTGGTACGGGGGGGTGCGACACGCAGCCAGGACGGACTGCACTCAACGGACTGCAGAAGAGGAGGGGGGAGGTGTTTGTCTCCCTCTCCACCCTCCCCCACGCCCCCCCACCCCACCCCCCATTCCCTCTCTCAGACACACATCTGACCAGAAACTGAAAAGAGAGAGAGGGAGAATGACTGACGTTTAATTTACACCGTGTGTATGTGTGTACGTGCGAGAGAGAGCGCGAGTGCGGACTTCTGTTCATTGTCACTGCCTTCAACACTTCTCATTGGTTTAATCCCTTCTACGGCGGGAGGGTTGTTTTTGTGTTTTTGGTTTGTGTTTTTTTGGGGAGGGGAGGGGGGGTTTAAAAAGTTATGAAATATAACATAATGTGTCTTCTCCATCGTTCAGTGCTGTTCTAGATGTCTTTTTGTTTTTGTTATTGTTTCTTTGAACTGATCAGACCTCATGCCCATGCTGTGGAGATTCTGTGTGGTCAGCACTTAATGATGAATGTTTATCATTTCTTTAAACACACTCACATGAAGCAGAATGTCACATACCAACTAGTATTTTTCTGTCATTTATTCCTCAATCTTGCCACACACAAAAAAAACCACCACTCTGATGTGTAGCCCGCCCCCCACTCCAACCCCACCCCAACCAGACCCCCCTCCTGCTCATGAAGTCCATTGGCAATGCACTACTCATAATGAAGGCTCTCTCCACGCATCAATGAAGTTTAATTTAAGATGCGAATGAATGACAGAGAAATCATGCAGGTTATGATTTATCCTTATGAAATTATACTTTAAAACAGCCCCTCACGGCCGAGCATGCTGAGCTGCAACAGAATTTCTGATCACTTACAAGCTCCGGGTTTTTTAAAGCAAAATGAAAATGTCAGGTGTGCACCAGCGAGATAATGATTTAGACCAACTAATTGTGATTCCTGAACACAACTGTCATTGTTAATCAAACGTGTCTGCTTTCCCCCCCTTTTTTTCCAAGCTGTAATTTCATTCAGGGCTCGGAGATAAACGTGCATTCCCTGTAGTTTTATTTGTATCACGCGCATGACTAGTTTTAAGTTTCGAGTGTTAATAATTGCACACCGGACGAACGGCTCATTTTCTTTCATTAAGGGAACAAATCCCCAAGACCTGCAATAAGCGTTGCACATTCCAGCATTTGACAGTCATCGTAAAAGGGCCCAAACATACAGCACATACCATTTTATGCGAAGGTGGATGCTTCGACGTTCGGTGTCGCCCAACAAAAGTCTGTTGGGAATCCACGGGAAAAACTTCCAGCTTTGCTGAGAAGTTACATTTTAGACATGCTGAATTTCAAGACTGCAATCAACCACTTTTAATCTTTTTATTTATTATTAGTTTTGGTATTATTTGATGTTTATTTGGCTTTTTACTTTTGTTAATGTTGTTGTTGATTTGTATTAATATCATTCTGTGCCTACCAAAGATAAACTACAAAGTCAGTGATGTGTTTTCCATGCAATAGCAGATCAGGCCAAATATCTCTCCTCCGTTCTTTCGGTAGCGGCGGTGTAGCCGGCGGCAGATTGAATCGAAGGGGGGGGGAGGAAAAAAAACGCTCCTCGCACTGGTGTTTTCATTCATTGTTATTAAAAAAACAGCAAACAAACAAAAAAACCAAAGGGGTGGAGCTGCATCGAGGTTTTGCAGTGACCAAATCTGAACGGGAGGCAACGACAGTCTGACTACACGATGACCAAACTAGGGAAACTTCTTATCTTTGGGCCAGTGAGCTGGGAAAAGGGAGCAGATGACACATGCAACATTAGAGCGTATGTAGATAAAACATATACCGGTTAAATGGGAAAAGCTTTGCAGAGAACAATGTGAAATGGATTCTGTGCTTCAACTGGACCACACAAATGATTCAGTGTTTCTCTTCTTTTATTCCTTTACCTGTGTGTATCATTTAAAATGATTGTATGCCACTTTTTTTTTTTTTTTAGGGATTTTTGTTGAGATTGGCAAGACTTCATGATTGTGTTTAGTTTCTGTCAACTTATTACTTTTTATATTAAAAAACACTCCTGTCAACTAATAAGCTGGGTACAAGGTACTTTATGGCAGTTATTGTTATTGTTATTATAATTTTTTTCCTCTAACTTCACCGCTCATTAGCTAAAAAGGAAAAAGGGCAATCTGTGGCTTCCAGAAAATGTATTTAATATCCAGGCAGCTGTGGGATGGGTCAGTTACATCCAGGCTCAGGACCGTGAGAACAGGGGCCGAGCTCATCCACAACCCCCCACCCCCCAGTCAACCGGCTGGTTTGTTTGGTATTCAGAAAGGAGGGAAAAGTGCCGGTCGGTTAGATCATTCTCAGCATGTGTAGCTTGACATTACTAAAGATAACAGCATGAGAAAACCGTTAGGATGCATACCTCAGTTCAAACCTATAGGGAATGATTCAATTCAATGAGAAAAAATAAACATTTCACTCAGTTGCACTTAGTTGTGTGTCTTGCATGTGTAGTCTGATACTGTAGAGAGAAAATGACAAAAAAATAGAAAATGAAATTAGAGCTTGTTTATCTTAAAGGTTTCATCCTTTTTTTTTCTTTTTTTTTAAAGCCAAACCAATCCAAACCTCAGGCCTTTTGTTCATGGAAATGTCACTCGGCTGTGTGTGTGAGTGTGTGTGTGTGTGAGTGTGTGTGTGGCACCGTTCATCCTGTCAAAGTTTGTTCTCTGATGTACTGATGGGTTGTTTTAAGGGCGTTCCAACATTAGGTTGTACATACATGTCGGTATAGCCTTTGCCCCCCCGCCCCAACACACCTTTTTTTAAGATCAAAAAATACATTTGTGTTATGTTTGCTTTATCGCTTTGTATTAACTATGAAATAGCTATGAGAAAAAAAACTGCTGTATGTATTGGAATAGCAAACTGTGCTGCAAATGTATTTTACTTAGTAATCCTTGCTTTAAAAAAAACAAAAAAGGAAAAAAAAAGACAAAAAAAAGGAGTCACACAATCCATGCAGACGTCTGGGTGAGCTGGGCATGGCCAGGCTGGGGCACGGGGGATAATCTCAGATTTTGGATTACAAACTGTAATATAGAAAACAGACTTTTTCTCTGTTATCACTGACCTAAGCATTTTGTACAGATTCTTTTTTCCCTCTTTGTGTTAAGCTGTTTTTTGATACTTCCCTTTGACGGAGGCAGCGCGCTAAAGAAATACCTGCTCGAGTAAAATGGGGAAAAAACCCGACACTGGGCAGGACTGGTATATTTCCTCTACGAGACGGAGATATCTTGCATGACTAATCCCAGGGTCACGGAGATTTTAGGGGGGAGGGTGCGAGGGGTGGTTTAAGTGGTCAGTAGTAATATAAGGGTGTATCAATTTAATATTTTATATGAAATGAATAGGAAAAAAAGAAAAATATGCAGTGCCAAGATGTAAAGAATATTGTTAAATGCTGTCTTTTTTTTCTTTTTCTTTTTTTTTGGAGATTCATTTCACTCGCTCATTAAAAGATGTCCTTTCATGTCACGTAGGTTAAACACACACACACTCTTTGGTTAGCATCAAGATATTTATATTTTTTATCTCAAGTGGTCATTGTAAATGAGTTGAACCAAGCACAGCAGGCAGGTCAAAGGTCAGATGCTGCTGAAGACTCGGACCCTGCAAAATCCAGCTGCGTGGCATCAGACCTCCCCCCCACTCACACACACACACACACACACACAGCCAAAGCATATCACACACACTCACACACACTGGCACCCGAGCTAAAATGCCATTGTTTCATCCATCACCAACCATCCAGCCCGCTGTCATTCCGTCCCCCCCACCCCAACCCGTCTCTTTCTCCCACTCTCGCATCAC